CACGCAGCCAGCAGCCCAAACGTCGACCTGCACACCGAGACGCTACAACACGGATGGGGGCTCCTGAACTCTCGAGCTCCAGGTCTGAAGCCTGGGACGGTTTCCGCTCCACAGACGGGCCTCGGGGCCCTGGTAGCTGCATGCGCGCTGCCTTTCCAAGGAATCTCTGGATCGCGCTTTATCGTCAGGTTGCTGCTTGTAGTCTGTGCTTTACAAAGGGATCCTCAACATCTCCGAATTTCTGGGAACAGTTTTCCAAGATCTACCCGTACCACATGTTTGTAAGAGCCAAACCTGAAATCGAATATGCTTCCGAACCAGAAGAAGAGCCACCGTATATACTTCCGAACCAGAAGAGCCAATCCATGAATGAGGTCGGAGTCTGACTACTGCGGAGACAGTAAACGCGGGCACAATGACAAACGAAGCTGTTGTCTGAGTCTTCAGCAACGCCCAGAAAAAAGTGCTACGTAGCGTTATGACGCGCCTTGCAAAACCTCAAGCTCTGACCCTCAGTCCTCGACTCCTCGACCTGTACCAAAGCCCAACACTGCCTTCACGCAGCCGGACATCTACAATGAGAGCCCAGCTACATCCAGCTACTGAACTTATCGGAGGACAGTGCTCATGTTCTTTCAAGCCCAGCGTCAGCAGCTCAGGGGCAGCGTAGTTCGGCGAGCCTACGGACTCTGTCAGAGGAATTCCTCGGTAGTGGCAATCAAGTGAGGTGTCGTCTGTCGGGCTTTAGGGAAGGCTTCCTTGAGCAACGACTGCATCCAAGCTGCCCCACTCGAACTTTGAGGAGAGTCCGAAGTCCCCCAGCTTCACATTCATCTGGGAAGTCGCCACCGAGTTGCAAGCTATTGGGCACTACCAGTTACTATAGTTGCTGCGACTGGTGCAAGTTGAAGCTCTGAAACACGGGGGCGAGGTCGGCTACGGTAGCAATTATGCACTACACCGTGATGTCAAGCCATAACAACCCTCCGAGGTGCATTGGAATCGAGGAAGATGTTCTCAGGCTTCAGATCTCGATGAGCCACGCAATTCCTGGGATCAGTCTGGTCACCATTGTGACAGTGTTGCACTTGGCCGTCTCCAGTTCCGTTGGCGGTGGTCAGCCGGCCAGAATGTAAAGGAACCCTGCAGTCAAGCACTTCGTAGATCAAACCAGGCATAGCTTCCGATGGCAAAATCCCACTGCATCAATGATCTGCCGGAAATAGCATCGCACCTCCTTTTCCTGGAGTCGGTTCCTCAGCAGCTCATGCAGGCAGCACATGCTCGTCATCCCGAAAGGTGCTCCATTTTCTGCGTAGATTTTCTAAGCTCTGGCGAAGAGTCCTAAAATCTCCATCTGAAACCCAGCTGACTGGCTCAGAACCCAGGAAACTTTGTCCCACATTGGTGGGTATGCACTCGAGGCATGCACTATGTTCTTAGATGCACTGCCAACTGAAATAGTATGGCGCACCGGGTGCACCCCTCAGCTGGGGAGTTTGGGTCCTCACACGAAGGGAGCGAGGCACCGAGCGATGATCAGCTCAAAGAGGTCGCCGCCTGTACCTCCTCGGCGCGCAAGCACTACAAGCCAATTCAATTCGGAAGCATCTTCCGGGGCTCAGCAGGCGGCCCGAAAGAAAGGCTTGCGAGAAACTCTCCCTGCAGACGAGCTTCGTTCCATGAAGACGAAGACTTTGCCGTCACTTTCCTTTGGCGCAGCAACGGGCACTAACGTCAAACTTCATCTACTCCTAGGATTTGCTTCAGCCATGGAGGTTGTACTTCCAAAGCGCTGGTGTGCTCCGGCTTCTGGCTTCTTGACATCTCACGGATTGTCAAGTCTCTCTTATGAAAGCAAGGAGCAATCACTTCCATAAGTTGGATGATGTTCGGGTGCCGAAGTCCACGCTGGTTGTCGATCTCACGCTGAATCTTGGCCTGAGGAGCGGCCAAGAGTTCACCACATCTTGCATCATCCAACTTATCGTATCCCGCACTTTTGTGTGTGCATTACCGCGATGCGACAATGCGTAACTGATAGGACTTGCGGGAAAAGAGGCAATGCCGAAGTGGTGAAGTTGAGAGACGCAGGCATGTGGTAACTGTTGGCAAGTCGCAGCCGGTGCAAGCCCTGCTGATCCCTCATGAAGTGCATGGTCGATGCTAGGCAGTAAGCTAGCTTCCCAGCTGCGCAAAAATGTGAACGAGGATTCCCTCGCCCCGTCTCTACTAAATCAGTGTGTAGAGGCCAAATGCCACCCGGTGATGTCCTTTGTTTTCAAGCTTGAGGTCGGGGCTGGGTCCATCCGGCTCGTGTTGATGATCTTCACTGCAAGAGTGTCACCAGTCTTCACGTGCTTGGCCATGTTGACACTTGCAAACTGGCCACGACCTGAGCACGGGGACTCCTGCCTTCAGCAGCATGGACGCTAGGTTTCCTTCTGAATGGAGTCATTGCCGTGTGACGACGTGCGAGCGACGTCTACTGACTTCTTGGGCTAGACACAAGCAAAGAGCTTCTTCGTCCCACCGAGCCACCTAAGAATCCGCCAATCTCATAGTCCCCAAGGACAGTGCCCATGAAAGAAGTCATCTCTCGGCTGCAAGTTCCAGTTCGGTCGTCACTTCCGCGGCTGAGATACCCAATGGCTTTACTGGGTATTCGGAGCCGCGTGCAGGTTCAGGGGGACATGAGCTTGGGCCAAAACGTATCTTCGAGATGCTGCATGTTGCAAAGGTGCTTAGTCCACCTGTCTTGGCAAGTGCTCATGCAGGGATTCTGTCCTGACCGCACAAATGTCAGTGGAGAGTCCAGCTTTGTAGTCCTGACGCTTTGTGTTGGTTGTGCCAGTGGGTCACTTCACCCCAGTGGCTGCAGGGCCTGCAGCGCTGCTTTGGCTGGGCCAGGAAGTGCATCCAGCTCGTGGGAGACGAACTCCGCCTGCCGGTGTTGCAGTCAATCGCAAAACCGCAGAGTTCCACCGAAGATTGAAGCTGTAAGACCAAGCACCTTTTGACGCCAAAGAGGGCCTTACTGCAAGTAAGTATGCTCGAAGCACAGCAGTGACAGGCTCTCCGGTCAGGTTGAACTTGCCTTGCATGCTTCTAATATTCTGATGTCAATCTGGTGCCAACGTGACCAAAATCGTTGACGTGTCTGCCATATCATGCTGCTTGATGGCCTCCAGGTCTGCAAGCAAGGTCTTCGCCCTCTTGCAGAAGGGGCAAGCCCTGAGATTACGACTGCACGTTCTTGGGTTCGCTCATTATCATGACATGTTGCTACAGTGGACAAGTCTGGTGCAGACAAGCCCTTTTTCTCGTTTGATGACATACAACTCTACCTTCATCACATCACATGTCAGGACCTCGGCTAGTCAGCCAAGCCACTGCTTGGAAATCATGAAGACAGGGTGAGCTTCCTCGGCCGCCGGATGCAGGCAAGATCTGTCATTTATTTCTTGCCGCCAAACTCTGTTGCTGCAGCTCCGAGCCGACAAGCAAGAAGCCATAAAATGCCACGAAGAGTCACAAAGGTCCTTCACCAGCTTGTCGGCATCCAAGCTTTTGGCGAAGGCCTCGTAGGATTCCAAACGCCAATATTGTGGGAGATATTATCTGTCACTGTCAGATATTGTCAGATGCTAAAGCACCACGTGAATGAAAACCCTAAACCGCGAAATCAAACTGTCCTTGATTCAGTAGCAAAGGTAAGGGTAGCGATCGTAAGCCAGGAGCGGCCAAACATGCTGCGAGCAACCGCCAATATTCTGCTGGCCCTCACTCAAAGCCAAGTATCCTCCAAAGGTGTGGAGGCAAAGCACCTCAGCACAGCTGCTGTCCTTTCCCGTATCCGTTACTCTCAAACTCCGGCCGAATTGCACAGACTCTAGAGCCCCTGAAGACAGTCTGGCACCAGGGACCTCATGAAGGCTTCTCCAAGTTGGGTTCCAGGGATCGCTGCCCCTAGAGGATCAAAATGCCCGAAGCGGTAGCCTTCTGGTAGGCTCCCAACCGCATCACACGAATGTGGTTGCGGAAGAGTTACCTAGCTAACCCCACGGCTACTCACGATTTCACTACTGGATATTGGCAGCAAGCTCGGGTCCTGCTCACGACTCTCGCATTGAGGAACCAATTGCGGACGTACGGCCGCCAGCTGCGCGCTGCACGCGGTGCAGGGACACTCATCCAGCGTCGGACTGCTAACATGACGAATTCACTCATGCACAGCTTTGCACCTGTGGGGTGCATTTCGCAGTTTCATCTTGCATGTCTTCAGTCCGGAAGCGACGTGGCCTGCCGAAAAGCCTGCATGCTATTCCGATGGCCGGTGCATTCAGGGCATATCTCCCAGTCATAGTTGCATGTTTCTATACCCAGCTTTGAAAGGCATGCTGAGCAGATATTGGCGCGGCGTTCAGCAAGCACCAGCTCACAAGCTGAACACCCCGGGAAATTGGATAGGGACCTCGGAACTTGATACGTGCATCTCCGCTGCGGAACTAAAAACTGTAAGGACAGAAACTCCCGGTATTCGACCAGTAATTCCTAAGATGTAAATCTGAGCTGAAGAAGAAGAGATGCTTATCGTTGCATTGTAAGCATGATCGCATGATGAAACGGTGATGATTGATGATAATGAAGAGCTGTGCGATTCTAAGTTGGAGGGTGAGGATTGGAGGGGATGATGATGAGAAGAGGGTGGACGTGAGGAGGACGATGATCTCACGATGGAGGTGATCATGCTGATGCTGATGATAGTCTCGATCTGGCAGACAATGCTGGCAATGGCACGACGCTTTGATGTGCTTTGTTGATGACTTCATGAATGTGAGCACTGATGTTGCTGTCGCTGGTGGCGGTAGTGGTAGAGCTGCGACCATCTGATGCATCTGCTGGGCACCCTTTCCACATTATTCTTGCACTCAAGATAAGATGAGTAACGGTAGCTGAGCAACCGTCAAACTTGAATCAAACAGTCGCGCCGGCAGGACCACTCCAGAGCCCCCTTCTGATCACCGGAGCGGGCCATGCCAAGACCTTCGCGGACCTGGAATTCAACGGTAGTTCTTTGCACAGAGAATTACTGCACACCGCTGCACTGGGTGCTACTGCTATGCAGTTCCGCTCGTTCAAACTGGAGCTGGTTGGTTTGAGGGCTCGAAAGGTACCAGTAGCTGTCGAACCCTTGAGCAACGAACTCCGCAAGTCCCTGGCTCGTCGATCTGCCCATGCCCTTCCCTGATGCCGACTCAGGCGATGCCCACGCCTTCGGCCCAGTCATTGGGGGATCTGTCAGACATATCTTGCGCTCGTGTTCAGTTTCCAACTTCTCTTTTTCGGGAGTGGAAGTTCGGAAAGGCTGTGGGGCTCGGCAGCAGCAGTTCTGCTGGCATCGCTAAGAGCCCGGTGCTTTGCAGTGAAGTACACCAGACTGAGTCGAGGGCGACTTGGAAAGAGAGCCTGCCATTGAAGCATGGTTCAACGTACTTGACCGCTGCGGCGCTGCGAAAGCTGGGAGGGTACACAAGAAGCAACGCTGCCTGCTTCTGGCGCCGTTCGAGGATCGACCTCAAGATTTTGACAGCACAAGCTTGTGATTTTTGAGACCCAGAGCTATCTAACAATTTTCATCAGTTCCTGCTACCAACAATAATTCTGCTGCCGCATGACTCAGCTCCCCAATCATAGGCAATGCGATTGACGACGCTGGTTCTGAGAAGCTTCATTGTTACGAGAGGGGGTGCAGAACGTAATCAAAGCCGGGTGCAACATGAGGCATGGTGTGTTGAGACTGAGACAATGCCGCAGAAGGCTCAGGCGGGCTGCATCTTGATCACGTTGGGTCACCAAATCAAATCGGGCCCGTAAGATCCAGACGAGACTTCCATGGAGGCGACGGATTCCTAGCTCCCGCGCCTCATGAGCAATTGTGCTCGTCAGCTCGGTGAAGGGATGCACAGAACCCCACTTCGAGCATCACGAGGAGCAGAAGATCTCGATAAGACAGAACGGTTCAAACGATAAGCCAAGACCGCATAGGTTCCCGACCAAGGCGAGGGAGGGGTGGCCACGGCTGGATCGAGCTTCTGCCTCGAGCTGCTTGATATTTATCTGGAGCCATGCTTGCCCGGTGCTTCGTGGGTTAACGTGTGAAACCTGTCAAGCTTTGATGCTAAGCCGCTACTTGTAAGCTAGTTCTGCACGAGCCAGCATGCAGCACAGTTCTGGCTGCCTCTGCAGAGGCTCCGCATATTCCGTGTTTCCACACTTTCGGCTAATTCTCTAATTGGACCTGAAAGCCGCATTGATTCAGCATGCAAGCGCCAATTGGCACAGGGACCCTTTCAGCTTCCCACCTCTGAACCCCAAGGCCCCAAAGCCCGAGCTCCCCGGCAGCAGCTGCCCGATGGCTCGGCGCGGTGCGGAGCGCCAGGGCTGCGCCGCCCTCGAAGGCAACATCACATGGCCATCATCATCATAGCTTGAATCATAACCATAATCGTAGCAATGATCCGAAACGATTTGGTTAATTATCCGCGCCCTGCCTCTGGCCACTCTTTCCGCTCTTGCCCGGACTGGGCCGATTCCATGCCTGCATTGGCTCTCCAGTGGAAACTGTCAGCCGAATCTGAATGAAACCTGCGCAACCACACGAAGCCTTTGGATTGCAGGGCCGTTGTGCAAGCGCACCTCTTAATTAACTTCCAAATCCCACAACCTCCTGCCTCAAAATGAACCCTACAAGCCCAAAGACAGCCATACGCAAACCTTCTAATGCTAATTGCAGGAAGCCTCTCTTTACAGAACCCTTACCGCGCCCCCCTGCGCCTCCAAGGAGCCGACCCAAGGCCAAAGGGCTCCAGGCAGGATCCCTGGCAGAAGACTTGCTTCTCTCATGCCTGAGAGTCATGAAAACTTCAAAAACTAACCCTGCACCATTAAATGCCATTAAGACGGTGGTGGTGATCATGATCACCATCCTCGTCGCAATCGCCGTGCCCGCGGTAGTCCCAGTGAAATCTTGTAGGTGTGATGGAGGGTGGCTGCTTTGAGCAGTAAGCAGGGCTTTAGGAATCGCATTGTGGCATCGGCTAGGTGCGTTCTGGCTTAAAGACTTCTTGTTCAAGCGTGATGCGTGCATCGTCTTTGCCATGATCATGAGTCGTCTGCAAGCAGGTTGAGGTGGGACGAGAATCAACGGCTCAATCGGCCAGGTCAGGCAACCAGAAGACCTCCCGCAAATCCGTCCGCTGGTTGCTAGCCATGCCTGGCCTGTGTGCATCCAGCGTGACTCTACAACCTCAGTAAGGCAGACATGCTCTGCACTCTTCTTTTGTTGCCTGATCTTTTGGGATGTCTCACCCTGCAGCTTCTGCTTGCTTCTCCGTTCTCACAGCTTATGCCGGACGGGCACTCTCGCTCTGACATAAACCAGGGGCTCCAGCTCGCAGAAACCTCGCGGAGCAGCCGTCGCTGTGCAAGTGTGTCGGGACCGAGGAACCGAACCTGCGTCGAAGGAGAACTTCTAGCAATGCACGTCATAAGCCCCGCGTGTTGTCAAGAAGTCAAAGCAACGAAGGAAAGAGTGAGTCGTGGGATGCTTCGGCACTGTTACGAATCACTTGGACGCAAAATGGAATCCCGCAAGCTTCGCATCACCAAGAAGTGCACAATTTATCTTGGCGGCTGGCACGGACGGCCGTCCCTATAGGAGGCGGCACAGTCTCTGTGACGCTGCCGTCAGCTGTGCCTCAAGCAGTGGCACGTCCAGCCAATCCGATCGACGCCGATCATGCATCGCTTTAGATGCAGAGCCTGCTCTTCTAACCCCCAAGCGATCGATACCACACAAGCAAAGGTAGCAGAACTGTTGGAGAGCGGATGCCATGCCTCCATTAGCTGCCACGGCTTCTTCCTGCGAGCGATCGAACCCGCTTGGAGAGTCCAGTACAGAGTTGCTGCAAAAGCACCGGATTTCAGGCACCACCAAACAAAAAGGGCCGACAGTGCCGTCCTCTCTGCACAGGAGAGCCAGCAAACCTTCACCATCAGCAGGAGCCTGCAACCTCCGACTGGGGGGGCGTGGTACGAGTCATTGGGCTTCTTTTGGGAGCTTGTAGCTGGGGTTCATTGGGCAGTGCTGGTTGCAGCGGACTCAACTGAATGCCGCCGTGGTGCGGCAGAGGACTCTCGCGTAGGTGTGAAGTTGTCGGCCCACCTGCCAAACCCATCACTTTCACGTGAACGGGACAAACTGTGGTCTTGCATGGACAGCCGATGGAAGGCTTGGCATACAGTCCCAGCAAATGTCGCGGTCCGTTGCAGCAGTACACTGAGGTGACCACCAGATGGCTTGTCTTGCGAAACCTGTTCACGAGGCTTCTTCGCAGTTGTCCCTACTTGTGCTTCTGGTCGCTTTGTGCTCTCTTGGCAGACTGCCTGGATCCATACTAGAACCTGAACGCATGGCGAATCTAGGAAGCAACTCTGTTCGATGCCTCGTCGGGGGCCGGAAGCTCCACGGCAATTAGCCGCACCTTTGTCACCATCGTTGCAGCATCTCTTGTCTGAGTCACTGAACAACGGCTACTTACAAACTAGAGTAAGCTGTGGCTCTGCAGCTATTGATGCGCCAACCTTGCGCTGGCTGGCAGCAAAGCCTTTGAGCTCTGACTGGTGACTAGTGGCTGCGCCCACACGCGCAAACCCACACACATGCAGAGTTCCTGCAATCACTCAGGCTTCTGCGAGAGCACCATGCTTGGGAGAGTTTGCGCAAACCTAGGCATTGACATTGAGGACTCTGGGCGTAATCCCTTCACCTGCAATATTCAATCACTGCCTCCCCCTTCCGAACAACAACACCTCTAGAACGTTCTAATGTTTCTAGATGAAATGAATTGCGGGGTTCAGGTGGGTGCCTCGGAAAGCGCGCCCTTAGGCCGTAAATTTCACACGAAGCTCGAAGCCCTATAAGCCCTAAACCCCAAACCTTACGGTTGGACCCCCCGGAGGGGATTACTCGCTGTTGGAGTGCCAACAAGGTTTCAGCAGGACAGGACATGTACAGGTGTCCTTCTTTCAGAGATGCTGTTACGCACAAGTTTGCCGCTCCACCGCAGTATCTCCACACTCGAACATATCTCTCAAATCGTCATGCCTGTGGAAAAGGTTAATATCGAAGACCTATTCAAAGAGCACGGTGCACACGTAGATCCCACCATGAGATCAGCCATGATCGGCCGTCCCTACTCACCAGGTGTGCTGTAAATCAAGCGCTGTGAAGATGATTATAGCATGTGCAACATGCAATTGACAGCTGCAAAGGTTCTGCGGGCTCGGCCCAGCCGCGGGCGGTAACGCCTTCCTCCAGCGAAGTTCAGGCGGGTTCAGGATTTTGCTCGAGATGTAGCAGCTAGGGAGCATTTCGGAACCTCACATTACCGAAGCAGGGCCTTGTTGGAGCCCAACAGTGACCTAATCTCAAGCCAGCGCAAAGGTTTAAACTCTTTCGAGCCAACTCCTTTGCAAGACGTCACGGCCTGTGAGCAGGCACTTCGCAGCCGCTGCCACGCAGCATACCGGCTGAATTGGATGCGCTCGCCTCGACAGGGGGCTCTCCGGCTTGCACCAAGGCTGCTACAGGTACCTGCCTCTCGTCCCCGAGATGCAGCTTTGGCTGTTTCGAGTTTTCAGGAGGTTTCAGGCGGCGAGGAACAGTCTTCGAATGTCTTCGATGCACCTTTTCTCAAAGATGGGAGATGAGCCCCATGATGACCTCCCCCTCCGAAGACTGCCCAGTGAACAGCAACCTCGACCATCACTGCCGACCCAAGCGAAAACTGCCTGAAACTTAAGCAACCGACTGAAGGACCCAGAAAAACTTTGGCGGCAGAGCACGGATGGCACTGCCAAAAGGGGCGGAACGCTCCAGCATGCAGCAATTCCAACTGCCGGAATCCTGAGGTCGGTTGAAGCTCTCATGAGGCTGGGACACAAACACTAGTCACTACCACGGCCCCCACAAAGCCATGGCAACCAAAACATCCGTCACAGTCACATAGGTGCGAACGCCGTCCAAAATTCCCCTCGCGTTGAGAGTGAGAGCAAGAGGAAGAAGAAGAGCAACAGACCGAGGAGAGCCATCGTCATCGCTACCATCATCGGCATCTGCAGCAGCACCTCCGTCACGATCCTCAGGACCCCGCCCCCCCTTGCAGCTCATGCCCAATCCCCACCAAAGCACAGCCGCCAACAGCAGCTTTTGCATGTCTTCCTTTCACGGAACCTGCCGACGTTGCTCTGCCAGCGGTTTACGGTGTGACAACTTACACGACACCTAGCGGACCTAGCACCTGCAGTCTGCCTCCTGAAAAACTGAGCTCTGTGCCAGAAAGTTGCGGAGGTGGCTGAAGGCATCGGAATGCCAAGAAGGTGCCTGGACAAGCAAAGCTAATGCTACGGCTATGGGAGCGCAGTCAGAGGGGACATTGCATTCTGTGCTGCATCTCCAACGGGGATCCCCATGGTGTTAGAAACTACCCAAACTGAAGATGCCGGTACGGTGCAGCCTTAGGTCTTCCTCCCGCGTCCCGAGTCGGAAGTTGTGAAGCGAGCCCTTCTCTGAGGCCCGGACCAAACCCATAGCCGGCGACGTGCCGCTTGGTGGGGAGGCAGAGGGACGCCTGACCAAACAGACCGGCAGGGAACATCAACAAGCAGGAACCAGCGTCTCTCTTGCTCATCTCCATGTCTTGGACTTTGGAAAGGACAACAAACTGTCGCGGCTGTTGCCGGCGACATGAAACTCCGTGTGCAACTGCACATTAACTATCACGCATCTGAAGACTTGATTTGTTCAGCGCAGCTTGCGCCTGGCATCGTGTCTTTGACGGCCTTGGCCTGCACCGAAAGGTCTTGATGGCTCGCCGAGGCATTGAGTCATTGTTGAGGGCTAACATGGCTAAGATTGGCTAAGTCTGAGGCTCTGACTTTCCTGGCTCTCCTCACTGTCACTGACCTGATGCCAGACATCACAAAGACAGTGCCACTGATCTCACGGACCCGTCTCTGTCTTTGCCTGCACCAGTGAGCGCTTGCGCTCGGCCGCTGCAGGAGCCTGCGCAAAAGGGCCACGGTTCTGCTGGTGGCTGCGAACGGGCTCTGGTTTCGACGAGGGCTACAGTACCTTTTTTGGCCAGAGTCGAAGAGAACACAATCTTATTGAATGTAACTGCGGAGGAGCCCCACCCGCTTGTGTTGCATGAAGCCAGGTCCAAGCACCTCGTGCGCTCTCCCTCGAAGGATGAAGTCTCGAAGGCTCGCTGGTCCTGCCAAAGTTCAAAGCCGAGTTGGCGCAGGTCATGAAGAAAAACCAAAAGGGGATGGAGAGGCGGACGCCCAAACAAATATTGGCTCAGATTCCGAATAAGCAGCCGCTGCAAAGCACCAGCTTCTCTGCTGGGCACAGGCCTCCCTCGGCAGCGCTGAGCTCGTCGTCGAACTCCTGCCTCGGCACAAGTCAAGCTACCAACTGGCAGCCTCGGCAACGTCAACCGCAACTGCCAAATCCAAGCGACATGCTGGTGCCAGTAGATGCCGTCTTACATTCACAAAACAACTGCAGAAGACTGCAAGCAGCAAACAGCACCATTAAGGACAACAGCAGCTACACATCAAGTCGGGCCCGTATCAAAGCCCTTTCAGCATGCTGAACTGTCCAGGGAGGGCACACACGGCTGCACAGCCGCACCAGCAATCCGTTCTTCACGTTCTGTGAGGGAAGCTTCAGCAGGGTTTTTCGGTTGTTGTGACATGTGTTTAGAGCTCTCATGCATACAACGAAAGCCGGAGTATTCCGCGGCCTTTGGAGCTGCTTTTGCCTGCGGACGGCCAGGGAGCGGCACCTGCACAAGTCTGTATTCGAAGCAACACAGATACCGACATCGACAGCTGCAAAGAAACAGAGGCTGTCGTCACAATCATCATCGTCCCATCAACAAAGACAGGATAAACTGCTCTTTATCATTGGAGTAGCAGTCGTCTTGATCGTGGTCACTCTCTTGGCTATGGTGGCATTATCGGGGCTGGGTTGTGCTGTTCGCTTTCGTTGACAGCAATGGTGGTGATGATGAAGGGCGTCGTGAACGTCATCGCTGTTCGGCATTCTGAAGTCTCCCCGTCCCGACGTGGAGAAGGAAGCGGTCTTTGCCATGTGTTTGCAGCCGATAACTGACCGGGGGACATCATGTTGAACCCAGAGTGAGCTGAAGGAGCTACCAAAGTCTCAGCCCGAGTGCGCCCAGGTACAACAGCCTCAAGATCCTAACTGCCACACTGAGGTCTCGGCCTGTTGGGCGACCGGGCTCTCGACCACCTGCTGCAGAGGTTTGTGAAGAGCACTTCCATGATGCGCTCTCTTCGACTTGAATAAGAAACCATGGCAGTGAGTGGTAGCCTTGGGCTTTGAGGGGCCCGAGCTCTGGATGCCCTGGTTGAAGACGGCGGGGCTACCTCCAAGCAGCTTCAGTTTCTACCGGTGTGCCAGAGTTACAGATCCCGCAGAAGCGGTGGGATCTACGGCTGAGCGCGCAGGGTGTGGGATCAAACTCGGGCACCGTGCAGTCCTTGCGAAGGAAATGGCATGTCTCTCAACTCACGGTGTTGTCAAGATCCTGTAGGCTCGTCCAGGCCTGCGGCCGTTGTTGGCTGCATCGCCAGGCCTGTACACAAAAGCGGAGCCCATGTGCCCGTCCAGAAAAATCTCCAAGCATTCTGAAGGAAGCTCATGACCATGATTTCAGCAGCCTGGAATGCAACACTGCTCAGCCTCCATCGAGCGCCCAAGAAACGACGATTATACGATTACTCAAAACGGAGCTGAAGAGTGACCACCCAAGTCAGGAATGCTCTACGTCCGAAGTGCATCGAAGGAACCCATAGCGCACTGCTGCAGCGCGAACTGCTGCCACCTGGATGCACGCAAAAGCACGCTTGATGCTGTATGTCCATGTTCAGCTCTTCTTCCTTAAGGGAATCTCTTGTGACGGGAATGATAACATGAAGTCTCTGAGTTTACAGCTGTGGGTCGGTGGCCCACCACATGGCCATGGCTGGGAGAGCTTCCCATGGCTTCTACCCAAGCAATGCTTAGAACATGCTGATGAACCTCTGCATGCTATAGCTGATCTAAAACCATAGGTTCTCGACTAGCCCGTATCGATATAGCCTAGTATGTGCAATGCGCAACATCCAGGTCAACATGGAGAGAACCATGATGCCACACATATCGACCGCAAGCATGCGTCGTCGTCTTAAGGGGTTCTGCTGTGCTGGGTAAAGGGTATGCTGAAAGGAGTTTTGTGGCCACTACTACTGTTGCTGCTGCTACCATGACAGCCACCAGGCTGTTGCTGTTTTATGAAGGCGAGCGTCGCGGCTCTTCTTAGTCACGCTTGTTCTGTGGCCCTGCTACGGTCACTGCTCTCCCAACACCCAGATGCTGGTCAGACGGCTCGACTGAAGTCAGCAAGCCGATTTGAGCCACAGAGGCAACCACAAACAGTTCACCTGCAAGTCGCTTGACAGGAATTGACTTGCTGCCCCTCAGCATGTTGCAACCATGCGTACAGCTGCTTGGGTAGGAAGGGAAAGACAGCCTGTCTTGGCACTGCAAGCAGCACGCATGTTTATCTTCGTCATGCGAGCACTGGTCATCTTCCTCCGACCTCGGAAGTAGTGCGACTGATTGTCGTGAGTGACTGTGCTCCACGCGCGCAGCTGCAAACGCCCTGACCACTCCAATTCACGATGTGGAGGAAGCAAGTTCAAGAACTTACTATCCAGGCGGTGAGGTATCAACGTGCAGCCATGGTGCAAGACCTTGGTGTAGCTAAGTCTCCAGGTCACTGCATGCTGCCTGAGGCTTTACTTTGCCGAAAGAGCAGGCGTGGGTTCAGGGTCAACGGATTTCGGCACTGATGCAAGTTTCCAGACTCAAGGATTCTTGGATTAGCTGCTTCTGCTCGCTGCTCTCCTACTATTCCTCGACTTGCAGGACTACCAAGCACCACCGCAACGAGAACTTCGACCAGGACGACATCCACTATCACAATGAGGAGCAGGAGCAGGAGGAGTAGGAGCAGCCGCAGAAGAAGCAGCAGGAGCAGTAGTCTCAGTAGTAGGCGAAGTATTAATTAGTCGTAGTAGCAGCAGCAGCGGCCATAGCAGTAGTAGCAGCGGCAGTGGTAGTGGTAGTGCTGACAGTGTAGTGGTGGTGGTACTGATAGTGGTAGTCGTCGGACGGAGAGGACGGCAGCAGTAGCAGTAGTTCTAGTCCTACTAGGTGTCAACATCCTGGCTGCTGGTTACTGCACCGTCGTTACTACCGTTGCGCTGTTTGTTATGAGCACACTGTTCCTTCTACTGTTTGCTACTGCCATTGAGTTGTTGGGCTGCTGTGACTCCCGAGCCTGAGCTCCACAGCCTGACCCGGACTTGCCTTGCGAGGATAGGAAGGGATGGGGGTGGTGGGAGGGGTGCATGCCGGCTACGACCTCGCTCATTTTCGCATTGTTGCCTTCGTTGCACTGCGAGTATTGCTAATCAGCTACTCATGCTGCTGATGCTTGTGCTTCGAGGCCGTGACACTCGTGGTGAGGGGCAGCGATAGCACAAGCCTTCGCGGACAACGGACTTCGGATTTGTTTGGCGGATTTGCCGAACTCGGTCGGGACAGGCGGTATTGTGGGGTTTCTGTCTTGCTTTGGGGGTTCCGCGCCGCTCGACTGGTCATAACGGCTTTGTTGCATGAACTGGCACCGAATCAATCCAGCCATGGACAAGCGCAGTGATATGGCTCCTTGCCACAACCTCGTCAAAACTCTAGCTCTGGAACTGACCAACACCCAAGTTCAGCGTCGAGATTGAATCGGCGCTTGATGCCTGCGGTCTTGTAAACATGCACAGACCGCCGTGACAGAGTGCTGTGCACCACGAACACTCCGACTTTTTAGCTGCCGCACGAGTCAAGATTGGAAGTTGAAACCACTTTGGCAGGATCGCCGAGCTCCGCACACGCTGCCAAAGGTCCGAAGTGTCGGGGTCCGAGCCGAGTCACTCAGATTCCGACTATGCAGGGGGAGCAAGACAAACTCCCTCGAGAAGCCCAAGATGCTGCTTCTGAGTGCTCAAGAGCACACAGGAAGTGTACTAAGTACTATAATTCCAGGGACTTGAGAGCATGGAAACATCAGAGAACCAGTATGGTGTCCGTCTTGGGCCACTCGGATTGGCAAGCGCCACACTGCGCCCAAAATCACAAAAAGCTTATTGTGTTCCACAGCACCCGGAGCCGAAAATTCCTCACCTCCTGGCCTGGCGGCCACACGCCGGCCAAGCCCGGTGCGGAGCGGGCTCGGATTGTCGAGGCCTTGGGCCTAGAGACCCGGGTATCCGAACTTGCTGGCCCACTCCTCCACCTGGCAGCTCCAGCATGGGAGACTCTGAGGAAGCTGTCACTTCTTAACAAAGCCCAGCCCTGCCCTGCCTCCTTCTTCAGCGCGGCAACCTCCGGGTTGCTCGGAATGGCTGCCTGGACGAAGGGGGGACACCTGACCTCATGGCCCCTGACTTCCATGATTAAGTGGCCTCGAAGTCTTTCAACTTCTTGCCCTTCTCGGCTTGGATCTTCAGTGCCAGCTGACAGCATCGGTCCAGGAAAGTGCCTGATTGGTCGGGGGATTGGTCAAAGCTCCAGGCGCGATGCACGAACACGTCTGTGGTTCACGTCAACCGCTGCAAAACGATACTAACAATGCTAGGTGAAGCCCATCCATGGCTTCTTGGCCGGGACTCTTGTGACGGTTGCATGCGAACTTATGAGACCTGACACTGTCCGCTGCAAGAACGGCTGACATGGCCGAGTAAGGAATGCCAAGCCGCCGATGGTCTTGAAGTCCTCTTGAGTGCAGCCGCGAGTGGTCATAGCAGGAGCTCCGACGCGAACTCCTGCGCACGCCAGCAAATGTGACGATTGCAAGGCGAAGTGCCACAGCATGGCGAAGCCTGGCATCCTTTGAACACGCATAACAAGCCGAGCACGAAGAGCTTAGAGGGTCGAGTTTGTGTATGGGCTGTTATGTGCTTTAGGCCGGCTGCCATCAAGAAAACTTCCAACAATATGCCAAAACTCGCACTGTTTACAGTCGACGCAGCAATGCCTGAAAAGTGCCCACGTTGCAGCCTCCCGGTGAGAGAGCCGAAGCGTCGCCGTGTACGGCGTTTCGGTTCCTGAGCTCAAAGCACATGTCTCTGAAACCCGACCTCCCGAGAAGGACTTTCCGATTTGCTGAAGCTAAATGCCCTAGTCCACAAGCAGTTTTCAAATCCGCATGCCGGCCGTAAGAGCAATGATGGATGCAGCAAATGCACCCTGCCACCCCATCCCCGACTAAAAGCGACCGAGAAACAGAGTGATGGACGCTGCCTCACAAATCTTCTCCACCTGCTTCACTGCCCGCTCTTCTTGCATGTTGCATCGGTTCAACACCCTATGCCCTATGCAAGACGACTAACCCACTCCCCCTACAAGGCCCTACAACAGATGCTTCAGATCTGTCTTGCATGTCCAGTGCGGTCCGATCTGCCTTGGAGCCCGTGAGGCCGTGGGGTCGCCTGAGCACTTCGGACACAAAAGGATGATCACGCAGCAACTGCTGGGGTGTACAATCACTCAAGCTGAGACTGGATGACCCGCGGCTTCATCAGGGATTGAGCACCATTCCCTAAGTCTCCTCGTTGATGCCAAGTCGCAGGTCCCAAAGCAACAGGTGATTGTCTGTGCCGTCGCTAGCAAGCTTGTGCCTGGGCTCCCATATTGGAACACTGTGCGCACGTTCTAAAAAAATGCTCAGGGTCCGCGAGCATAGTCCAATGCAACATCACATGACCGTAGATCTTTGCTGTCGCGACACCCCTTGCTCATGAGGGTGTCGGCCAAGGTCTTGGCGTTGGCTTTGACCTGCTTGGCATACTCCTTGAACATGGGGCTGTCAACCTGCGTCGGGAAACCGCATGATATAGTGAGATATAGTGAGATCTTGTAGAAGCTCGCCAGACTAGGGGTCCGGTGTTTTAATTTTTGGATCTTTGACATGTCGAGCGGAAAAGCGGTCAGACGCGGGAGCTGACGGCTAAGCTCGCTGTCAAGGACGAATCTGTGGGTTGCATCTTCTCTCCGTGCCCTTCTTGCGTTGTCCCAACTGGAAAACATGTTGGTGCAGCCTTGGAGGATCGCCAGATATGCGTTACGCGTTGCAACAAGTCGACCCATAAAAAAACAAAGCATTTGGGGAGATAGCGTCCAAACCACACAAGAGCGACAGGTGCTTGAGGATGCGGCAACCACCCGCCGACACCACCAAAATCTTAACCACAGCACTAGTTACATTCGCTTCCCCTTCCTCGATTTCCAGCACCTTTGGCTGTCATATCAAGACCAATATCATCGTTTGCTCTTGGTACTTGTCTGCCATCGCTCATGTCCTCGCTCTCCTAAGAGGTGTCGAGTCTGCTGCCACGGCCCGGGGCCCACCCCCGCCTCCAGCAGCTGAGCAGCTAGGCCACCGATCCTCTGGGCTACAGCAACGCGGGAAGCATCCCCAGATGTGGAGCCTTCGGGCCTTCGGGAGTGGAAAAATGTGGGTTCTTGAAGAGTCTCGACTGGCAGACTAGCATTCGTGTCGGAGCATCTTGGTCTGGGCTTCGCAACTCTTTGGGTTTCTGCAGGCGAGACACTGATGGTTGTGAGGTCCGCCCTGCAAAGCTGGGAACACTGCCATGTCGATGCGCTCCTCAATAGCTTGCTCAATTGAAGCGGCGGTATACTCTGCTGGCAAACCTGCAAACCTGTACAAAACTAGCGAAGTAGCTGCTTGTCTGAAACGAACTGAAACTTTGAGGCCTGTTACAGACGAACCCTAAGGTTAGGTGGCAGAAGTGCTGAGCTCCTTGATGTCCGGGATCTTGTCCGTGTACTTGAAGAAGATCATGCCAGCTCGTGGACCACGCAGAGACCTCGGACTCTCGCATGTGATGCCAGCTGGCCATATCTATCACTTTGAGATGCAGCGGATAATGAACCCGATGTTGCTACAGGCAGGAATTGTGCGAAATCTCAACGGCCTTGAGCAAATGCGGCAGCCTGTGCTTGTGCTGATGCATGCAATCTCGCAGGATCGCGCTGCGGCTGCGTGTCGGGCACAGTTCAGGCCCAAGGGCTTGTGGGTGGTGGTGGTCACGATGTCGCAATGCTCGAAAGGAGACGGATGCTCTCCTGGTCCGGAAGATGTCATATATGTGACATCCAAAGACAAGGATTTGCAACCCACCGTCACGACACTCCTGTCGCAACGAGGCCCGAGATGTGAGCGATGTCGGCCATCAGAATCGCACCCACCTGGCAGCGCCATCGGCATGAAGAGCATTGCGAATTTGATTGATTTGACCCTGGCACGAGGAAGTTTAAGGGCCGCAGGCGCCAGATGGTCAATTAGTCAATCTCCTCCCACAAGATCTTCAACTCACTCGAAGAAAGGTCAATCGATAAGTCGAGTGCCGCATCGGGCACTGCCAGTGACAGCTTCTTGCCAGCTGAGCCCCGGTCTGCATGCCTCGTCTGCGATCTCTCTGAACTTGCCGAAGTCGATGATGCGAGGGTAGGCGGAGGCACCGCACAAGATCCTGGGAAGCTCCGCATGCACGAGTTGTCTGCCACACTTGGGCAAGCAGAAGGCGTTATGGTCACCCAAAATATTCAATTATCGGGCATCCAACCCTTGCTTGACGAACAACAGTTCAATTTGCTGCATCGGCATGAGCAGGACCCAGAGTCGGTGGGTGCGGAGGGGAGGCGGGATCACGTTTCAACAAGAGTAAACCGATGGTCACCGCAAAACTACCCTTCCAAAATTGGTGACTGCTACTAGGAAAGCCACGTCAGTTAGCAGGTGGAGCCAGGACACATCGCCGGACGGAAGACCAGTGCAGTCTTTCGCAGCTCCTCGAAGTCAATCAAGCCCGTCTCCTTAGACCATGCGGTGGCTTGTTCTTGAAGAGTTTCCTGCCGAGGCTTAGCAGTTCATGAGGCCTTCTGCCGTTGGCGGCTGCATTTTGCATGGCTCGACATACACGTCCAGATGTAGGATGTTGAATCTGAAACTCAGCGCTGAGAACGCTTCTTTGAGAAAACTGGTGGATCTTTTCGCCGACTGCGAAGCTATCTGAATATGACTCAAGGGCCCTAACGGCAGCGGGAAATATATACAGTTAACACATGCATGTCATGGCCATGGCTTCCTGTACATGTACAACAGAGGGTGCATTCACACTCAACCTGTTCTCATGCCATGACATCGAGGAAAATCTAAATTAACCACATGAGGTACAATAGGCATTGTCCTCCGGAAGTGGTGTCTGCATGCTACCCTAGCCCCGACTCAGCTACTATGGTACATACAACGTATGCCCACGATTGTAGCGTCTGCAATCTACGTCTACAGCTTAGCTCGACTAATACTGTACTCACCAGATTCAATCACCTTTATGATGAAATCCGGTTTCATGGACTTTGTGAAACAATCAGCGGCTTGAGTGGCTGTATCGACCCAGTCCACTCTATCTCCACCCGCAGGGTAGGCCTCAACCGTGCGCTTGCCGTCTTCTGTAAAGATAGACTGGCGAAGAGCGCTAAGCTCGATTTGCAATCGTTTGTCTTGCACACGGGACGGAGCCTCCGTGTTGAGGTGATCGGCTAAGCTGCGGCAGTCCGTCAGCGCTATGTGCGGAACCTGTGTTCTCGCACGAAGTTCCCAATCGGGACCACTACTACCGAATCCGTAGATTTCGGCCAGGGCTGCTCTTATGCGATCCCCTGCCTCTTGGGCACTTTGGAGTGCGTAAGTCTCAGCCTGAAGAGTTGCTCTGCATACTCTTTTGATTGTGGTGGATGAGAACGACACGATCATTGTGTCGTAACGACTACAATTTGGATCGCGAAGCTGGGCAGCTGGAGCGAGAAAATGGATCCGTCCTTGTTGTGATCGGTCTCCCTTTTCACCCGCAAAGCTAGCGTCTGAGGCTGTCAGTACGCCCAGGCTCTCGAAATCAAAGGCACCATTTTTGTATCTTAACTTAAGATCGCGACCCTTTAGGGCAAGTTCTAGGACCTTGTTAGCCTCATGAAGAGTGCTAACAGTTGCACCTTTTATCGAGCTCTGAAGCTTCGATACGCGGTATAGGATATCTGGCCTAGCTTGCCTAGAAATCCACGAAAGGCTGCCGACTACAGAACGTAGTTGACGTTCCTCACCTCGGTCGATAAGATCCGAGTGTTTCCTTCCTGCCTTGACATCAATGTAGGTGATCTTGTTCGTGTTATCGGTAACGTCGATTAACACGTCCTTTCCAGATATGTCGAATTGCTTACCGCAGAAGCGTAGTCTCCCCGACTCGCGGCGGCCTACTTCGAACTTCTTTAGGAGCTTATCTATGATAGTTCCGCCCTTGCCTATCGATGCCCATAAAAAGTCATCGACATGTGTTGTCAAGACACAGACTACTTTTCCGGCGGCGCGGTAAAAGTAAAATGCAGGGAAAATCCTGCTTACCTGGAAGCCGACTTCACGTGCTTCTCGGTCGACTTTCCTCCAAAATCCTCTGCCGCTATCGCAGAGTCCGTATACCGGTACTCTGATCAGGAGCATCGCTTCCGGATCTACTCCTGGAAGTCCTCCGCCAGGTTGTCTCATAAGTACAACCCTGTCTATTGGCTCGGCCTGAAAGTAGGCGTTGCGAATATCTGACGATTCTACAGGGACTCCATTGGATGCGGCGAACGCTGATACTAGGCCATGCGTTTCGAGGTCTGAGGTTGGCGCGTCCGTGCGAACCTCTGTGGAATCTTCAAAATTTCCACAGGACACCAGTCTGGATTTGAACTCAGGTTCATAATCCGGCTTAAGACGTTCATGATAGTTCTTAATAGTGTCGACCCATTTAGATGGTATCGGCGTATGACCGGCGTCTAATAGTTCCTTAAGCTGCGCTCCTTTCAGCGGAATTGCCGCTTGAAAATCCTCATATTTCTTCCATTCCTTAGCGCGTGATCCATCGATCCGCAGGCGGACTGCTGGGGTGCATTCCCAGTATTTCAAGGCCTCGGGGAGGTCCTTGAGCTCCTGCTCAACCTGTTCTCTGGAAGAGAACCGGTTAGACCAAAAGCCACGGAGTTTCTGTCGAATACTCACGTTTGCTTCCTCCTCGTGTCTACGTTCCTCAAAACGTGACCTAATAGGAGCCGGCAGATCGTCCAGGAGGTCTGATCTGCTTCCTCTCCTGCTAGGATTAGGGGTTCTTTCTGCCTCGGGTTCAGCTGTACTGACCCGTCGGGACCTCGAAGATGATGCTGGTGGAGGTGATCTAGATCTACCTCTCTCCGGTCGCTCTGGTTGTTCATTCATCTCCTCATCCTCGAAGATTGATGAGAGTGGTCCTGGGCCGTCCAGAAGACCATAGGATGGTTCTTCGACTTCCTCTTGAGGTGTACCTTCCGAAGGTCCTTCTTCGGGCTCCTCATCATCGATGTCACCACCAGGTGCATCTCTGAGATCCTCGAAGTGTTGCTGTCCGCGCACCAGTTCTTCTGGCAGCACGGGTTCCCCTTGGAGAACTGCGTGTGCAAGTGCCTCGGCATCTTGCGCAGGCCTAAGATTCTGTGCGGACACTAGAACCGGTACGTTCGACACAAAACCCACACGCTCTCGTTCTGACTACCCTCAAAACCGATTACTCTAGACGCGGTAGACCAAACAGTTTTACCTGTTTTATCCCGCCTAAAGCAAACCACGTCTCCCACCGAGTACGTGTACGGCAGCGGTTTCGCATTCCTGAGAAGTGCACGCTGCACGCGTTTCGAGGTGTCCAAATGGACAAAAGCCTTCTTGGCTTCCGTCCGAGCCTGATGGATTAGGGCAAAACGACTCTCGGGATCAACTTGGTCGTTTAACGATCCAAGATCGGCGGTGTTATCCTCCTCTACTAGAGATGGAGGTCCCCGCGGTGTCTTCCCGAGTACCCACTGAGATGGGGAGTAACCTCCATGTCTCAGCATGCTATTCTTGGTGAGACAACACTCATCCAAGACTGTCTGTAATGCCACTTCGCCTACGGCCTGTGTTTGCGATACTACCTTTCTAGTCATCGCCTTCAGGATCCCGCCGTGGCGTTCCACTCGGCCAATCGACTCGGGTGTTTCCAATGGCGCGTGGTGTACTTGGATGCCATGAGCCGCGCAGAACTGCGCTAGTACCCCGCGATTATGTAGACCTCGGTCGCACCGTATGATCGCCGGCATACCGGCCCATGCTGTCCAACGGCGTTGGATGGCCTCTAGACACCGGGCTGATGAAGGCAACCCGTCGCCTACGCGTACGGTCTCTGCAAGCTGAAAACACGTCCCTAAACACACCATATTCATAACTTGGTACTTAGTGCCTTGTGCATCTAAGCATTCGAAGATATCAATACCTAGGGCGTGATTGAAGGAATACCGTTCCGGCATGGATACGGTGTGCGCGTTTCTACGAGGCTGTGCGTCTTCGCACTCATTGCACCTATGAAATTGAGCCGCTTCTATGTACGACTTATCGATTCTAGCGGTCCTTAAGAGGTTAACTAAAACCTTCTTAGGGCAATGGCCGAACTGGCGATGTAGCCGTCGGATCGCTATGCGTATCCGCTGTGGCACTGCTCGCCATTTCGCCCGACGCTCGGATTCCTCTATGGGTAATCCCCGCAAATCGACGTTGTCGAGGCGAGTTTCCTCCTCGATGGCCTCCTCGGAGGGGTCCATCAAAGCGAAATCGCGCGGTTCTTCCACCTGATCGAAGGGTTCTTCGTCGGCCTCAAGAGCCGGAAAGGCTTCTTGGGAAACAAGTGCAGTGGCTACTTGGTGTTCTGCTATTTGTCGAAGCCACACAACGAAATCTACGGAAAACACATTGTCAAAACTCAACGGCGCCATATAGGGATAGCTATTTGTGGTCCAACCATCAAATACATCCATAATGCCATTGTCGTTGCCATAGTAGGAAATGTCGCCTACTCCGTATACAGGTTGAATAGGAATGCTAGCTTCCTGCCACCTATAGGTCTGGGCACTGTCCATTAACAGGTACGGTGTTCCGGATGCTTCGGAGTGGCTGACAACTTCATCTATAAGGTCGGAGTGATTAAGGCCATCTATCGGGTCCTTATACCTTATAGCTACTATGACTAAACTAGGACCCACAGACTGCAGCTCCTTCCTGGCACCACTTGGTGTCCAGGCGCTCGTGGCGTTCAGGCCCACGTTGATGCAGTGGATCATTGGGTCCTGGAAGTGTTGGGGCTCGCTAGTGAAAACAACGATGTGCTTAGGACCAACAGTGGTTCCTACGTTGCTTACATCTAACAGGCGTTTAAGGGCCTTGTCGTGGTCCCTTAATTCGTTGATACCTTTGGTTATCAACTTACGCCTCCCCTTACTCAACACTGCCATTGAGCACACAGACTTGAACCCAGCACTAGTTGGGGACTCCGAAGCAATTGCTACTCCCTCGTCGCTATGCTCTTTTTTCAAAGTGAGGTTTAGCTGGCGGGCAATAGTTTCGGATTCAGAACTGGGGTCTGATCCAGAGCTAGACCACGACGCCCAACGTTTCTGTTTCTTGGTTCTCGGGTTCTTGGGTTGAGGAGGTCTTGGAGGTAAGGGCCTATCTCTCAAACCGTCACTACCCCTATCACTCGAAGGAACCTTCAACCAACCTGGGTCGTCGGGGTCTTCCTTTGGCTTCTTTTCTAGCTTGACCGGCTCCGGTTCAAGTTCCTGTGGAGGTCCAGATCCTACAGGTTGTGCGCTAAGAAGGCTTGGTGGTTGCGGCTTCTTCTTGCTTGCTACACCGGGGCCTGGCTTCAGGACTATAGGCTCATCTAGCTTGGGTTCTGGATTACTCCTAGAACCTGAGCCTAAACCGAACCCTGCACGCT